TTTCTAGGATATTTACTGTACGTATGATGAACCAGTGTTGCAAATAACAGTTCATTTCCATATTTGATTGACCATAGCTTGTTATGTTGGCTGAACCTATAGTTAATCAAAGCAAGCTAATGTCAAACCACTGACTCACTTCCACTAACTTCGGTTAAGAGTAAAACTTCACTTTAGGATTTAGATCACATATTAGCTATGAGTTAATCTAAAACAGTAGCAGAATCTTCCAGTTGTGTCTGGGCCAGAGGAAGAGAAGTGGGGGTTGCATGGAAGCCCAAGCTTGTTCTGCTCAGCTAAAGCAAAGTTTAATGTAATACTGTAGTAGCAATACAGTGGGGTCTTGACTTGAGAACTTAATCCGTATTGGAAGGCGGTTCTCAAGTCAAAAAGTTCTCAGGTCAAATCTGCATTTCTCATAGGAATGCATTGAAATCCATTTGATCCGTATCGGCTCTTTTCCGTCCATAGAAACTAATGGGAAGCTGCTATTCTGCCTTCGACCACTAGAGGGGGATATTTTGTTTCTTTTTTTCTTAGGTCAAGAAAGGTTCAGGGAAGGCAGGGAAAATACAGTCCAGGCAGTACCAGGCAGCCTGAAGACTGTCTCCCAATCCACTCTCTAAACGCTGGGAGGAGTGAGGAAGCAGACAGGCACCCTTTTCACTGGCCAACAGTTAACTGAAAGTTCAAATTTTGCACTTTCCCTGCCTCCCACGTGGTTTTTTTCAGTTCTTAACTCAAATCTAAGTATGTAAGTCAAGTCAGTATTTTCCTATTAGAGTGGTTCTTAAGTCAAAATGTTCTTAACTCGAGCCGTTCTTAAGTCAAGACCCCACTGTACTATGGCCCTGGGTAAGCTGTATGCTGCTCCTAGCACTTGTAGAATCCCCCTTTACCTCTAGGAGCTGCAATTCATGTTTTAAATAGGCCACAAATTTTTAATGCTAACAAACACCACATTTCCAAAAACAGAAATGGATTTACACTCTTGCTTTCATTTCCTGACAGTCTGGACAGTCCTCAGGGCAGAAAATTGCCTTCCCAGATGTGTCAAAGTTGTCAACCCCTGGTTTAGTGTTATATCCAAATGTGGCCAAGGGGAACACTTCTGGATATCTATCTGTCAGGAATAGATATAATTTTCTTTTAAAAGCTGAAGAGTCACATTGTATTTCATAACATACTGTTTTCATGTCCACGTACTATATTTCATTCAAGTCCCTGTGCAGAATGAAAAGGCAGAAAAAAATTCCAGTGTTTGTGCTTAATAACCTTTTCAGATATCATTTAATTTCATTTACTAAAAACAATAAATGTGTCTGTTCATAAAGCAACCAATACCAATCCTCCAAACTCACTTAACTAGTCAGAAACAGTTGCGGTATATTTGTTTATTCATTTTTTTAAATTAGCCTTTCTAATACATGCACTGTATTAGAAAAAAGGTATGCCAGGAAGGATAAGTTTGTTTGACTTATTTCCAGCACCATACCTGAAAATAAAAACATGAACATGATAAAATTAATGTCAAAAATACATTTTCTTCAGGTAAGCTATTCTGTTGTTTATTCAATTGAAAAGTTGTATCAGGTTAGCAATCATAGTTCAAAGCCTCATCTATTCAAACATTTTAATAGACTGTTCTCATAAACCGAGTAAAGCTGTAATTTCATTATTTGTCAAGATTATAAAAAAGTAAAGGTGATGGCATTTTTATACAGCCAAGCAGAATGAAATGTCAGATTATGAAATGGTATGCTTCATTGGTTTACCCAATATCTTTCTGCGGCTTTAGATGTAGCAATGTGAAGTCTACAAGGCAACTTGCTGTGCTAGTTATTAGGGACTTTGGGAATACAGTAGTACTTTCATAGCTTTCCTCAAATCACTAGAATCATGCATTCTCATTTTCTGCCAGTACCTGTTCCCATAGCTTTTGTGAATTTTCTTTAAAGTTTAAAAAAACCAAAAAATCTGAATATTATTTTCACTGACTCTACTTCATGCCTGTTGTTACCATTCCCCACCCCTGCTGCCAAACACATAGAGCCAGGCCTTTCATGTTTGTTTGTCCTTGAAAAAGATCCAGAAAGAAGGGGAGGGGAAAGAACTAAACATAAAAAGTAAAAACATAAACTCCAGCTGGAAAGTCAAATCCCATCTTGCTCCTTGCCCTGTGAGACTCCCAAACTGTCACACTTTCTTTGGTCTAAATTAAGTCTCCATGCCCTGCAAAAGCTGTGATATGAGAGAAAAATACTGATACTGTACATTTCTGTCTAAATGTTTTGCCAAAATGCTCCAGTACTGATACTGTACAGTACTTTTCAGTCTTATTGTTAGCTAATGAGTGAAACCACTGACAGTTTGATAAATAACACTTTTATCAATATTTAATAAGAAGCGATGTTATTAACTAAATAATTAATTTCAAATTTATTATTAGCGGCAAGATTAATGGTATCAAGGAACTAGAAAATAAAATTTGATTTTCAATTAAATGAATGATATAAAGAGGTTTGGAATATAGCTAATATTACTTAATCTGTAATATTAAATTAAAGAAGGGATTGATAAATAAGAATTTTTTGTAGATTTTAGGGGAATTTATTGATTTTGTATTAATGAAGGGGAAGGGACATGTATTTTTACAAGAGTCAATACAATTTTGAAAGGTGAATGGGGCTCCGTAAAGGGAGAAAAAATCAGTTACATCTCCTAATGATCCTGCTGGGGGTTGGTGGGTGGGAGCTTGTTTTGTACTATTGTTTTTGTTGTTTTGTGTTATAAGATTTTTTAGGTTTTTCTGTTTTTGCTTATATTTTTATGTATAATTATTCAATAAAAATTAAAATTAAAAATGGACTAAGACTGGGTTTAAAGGTAAAGGTTCTCCTTGACAATTTTTGTCCAGTCGTGTTCGACTCTAGGGGGCGGTGCTCATCCCCGTTTCCAAGCCATAGAGCCAGCGTTTGTCCGAAGACAATCTTCCGTGGTCACATGGCCAGTGCCATGTGACTGGGTTTAGATCTTAATATACACACAACACCAACTGTAACACATTTGTAATGTAAAATCATCAACACCTTGGTTATTTGTTGTAAATGTAAAGCAAACAGAGATACCAGCCTCAGCTGCCCTTATTATTTATAGCAGATATGGCCAGTATAAAAAAGTGGATGAAAACTGTCCATCCTGTAGAATTTTTCCCTAGTCAACAAAATTTTGGTGGTTTGGGTGTGTGTTAAAATGGTAACTGGGGAAATACATGTTTGTTGTTAACCATTTTACCTCCTGCTATCTGCTAATTTCTCTTCTTATTGCAACAAATTGCATATCTCTTCCACACTGTTACTCTTCTGCCTTCAGTCTGGTGACTTGCCTACTGTACACAGTGACTGCCACTCCCATGTGGCTATTTTAAGGGAATCAGCACATACAGACATGCCTGTGGCCACCAGAGCCTCTTCACCCCATATGTGATAATTCATGACACTACCATGCTCCAATTATGTTATTATGTCATTATTGCATCAGGGAAAGTACGCAAGTCAAATATATCATGAGGCCAGAACCTGGCACTGAAGTGCCAAGCCACATGCCCAGGGTCAGTCATATTTTACATGTTGCTTTACCAACATATTATGATCATATATAAAACCAATGACAAGAGAGGTAAGACTAAATCAGTACTGAAAACGCATGGATGTACTCAGGTTAATAAATAATAGGATTTTGTTCCCCTGTAATGAAGGCAACCTTCTGATGATGGACAGGGATGGTGGTAACATCTAGGCAGACATGACATACAAGGGGGTGTATCCTTCAACAGATGATGACACCAACTAGGGATACCTGTGAAGCACATAATCACAGCCTGAAGCAGAACACACCCACTGGAATACCAAAACAAAATGTGATAGGAAAAACAAATGCTCCAAGTATAGTTCATCCTGTTGCTTTTTGACAGTTAAATAACACAGTGCGACAAAAAAGTTCATGGTATTTCATTGCAAAACATAGGTGTATGTCATCTGTCTTCCAGAAACCCTCCCCATACTTTGCAAGGCTAAAGTGTAATAATGCCCCCATCTGCCTTCCCTTACTGTTTGAATGTGCTAATGCGCACGGGCAGTTGACAAGTGAAAATACAATAAACTTTGACAAGTGACACTTCACAAGTGAAAATAGATTGCAACTGGGCAGACATTACTATTCTAAACATCATTTCAAAACACTATGAAAGCATTTTCTAAAATGGGAAGCACATCAAACTGCACACAGCATGCATACAGTATCTACTTTGCTGCGCTTGCAAACACAGCAGCAAAGCATGATTCATCACAAGCTCTCTTATTGTGTGCGGGCAAAACATTTGTGTAAACATCAAACGCTATTTTTAAAAAGGTGACACCCCCCCCTCCCCATGATCATAGACAAGCTGCTCTGGAAAGGCTTTTCAGCTGAAGAGTGGAGTAAAAAATCTTTCAATAAACTTCCTGTATGAACATGCTTCCTTCCCACCATCACGTCTGAAACAGGTTCGTGACTATTAGGGAGGCAGAAGGACTTCGAAACAACAAGTCTGTTTGTCCCATGAGCATCTACGCCAAGGCCACCGCAACCTTGCCAGGGAGTCTCCTCTGCTCGTCATTTCCCCCCCTTCTCTAACAGCAGCTGCCAAGAGAGGCGCTGACCCAAGTAATCCTCCCCGTTGCCAAGTGCGTGAGGAGGGGCCTAGGCCCTCCTTGCAAAGGATGAAAGAGAGATACAGTCGATGCCTTATTCTCCTTGTGCCTTTCACAGGGGCAGCAGGACAGCGAGCCGCCATTCCGGGGCTGCCCTGGGGCCACCAGAGATGGTCTGTTCCTCTCCGAGCATCACTAGAGACAGACACCTTGCTGAGCCCCGCCCCTTGGGAGGGGGGGAAGGAGGGAGGACGAGGCGGGGCGCTCCTTCGCTCACCGTCCCTCTGACACACACACACACACACCTACCGTCGTCTCCTTGGCAGCTGCCGCGACCGGGATGGGCAAGAGTCCCCGGCCTTGGCCAGGCTCGTCGGCTTCTCCTGGCCCGCTACGGCCTCGGCCCCCGCCTCCG